CCCCTAATTGAAACGAAAAACAGACTACGGAGGGCTATTAGGGACCTACTGGGTTGTGAAAACATAATTGGCCTGTTTTAATTGCAAACTAGTTCCTCTGCTTTGCCCTTCGATGGTGGGATGAATATGTTGATGGCCAAAAGGGCAAAAAGTTTTTCTCTCTACCGGACTTTTGAAAGTACCACCTATACCTGCTCAGCCCAAATTAATAGTTCCAATGCTCAGCAGCTTTAGGAACTGGCATCCTTACAAATGGGCGACTCTTGATGTGCATGAATCAGCCTCTCCGAAACGACTCTGCATTATATTCGCAGCTAACATTGCAACAGAATTTTTGCCAACGTAGAATCTCTGAGAATCACTTAAACGGTTCCTAGCAGCCCGTCTTCTGACACTGTCCTCCTTAGTGGCATATTCAATCCAACCACTGGCTGTTTTCTCTTTTCCCTAGATAACATTCACCTCTTGCTTTTGAAATTCTGATGCCGTTCAAGGTCCTTAGGTGGAAAACTTTGTTAAATTAACGGCCTAGCGTTTCGACGTGATCGTCGTCTTCAGAGGCCTGAACTCAATTCGAGATGGTTTACAGTATTCGACAGCGTTTAATCTCTCTGACATGGCCGAAACTCATAGGAGAACTGCCCACTTCATGGAGTCTCACCAGGCTTAACCGTTGAAGCGGATCGAATCCGGTGTCGCCAGAGGCTACTGTCAGATGTGATTGAGACTTCTTGATGTCTCCCTTATACTTATGATGAGAGGGATCACATTACGATGGTACTGCCCACGAGACATAGCTCGCACAGCGGTAGGTATAGCAAGAGGTCATGGTTATGGTTGGACATCCATCTCTGTTGTTTGGACACTCATCCCTGTTGTTCATTCTGGTTCATTCCTTTGCAGAATCCAGAACGCCTCTAATGCCTTTTTCGCTGAAAGTTCCGTCTCCTGCGTTAATATGTGCACTTAGCTTCAAAATAGTCGTCGTTGTGTTCCTAAACACTGTCGACCGAGCGCAGGTAAGCTTTGAATATGCTCTGTTGTATCACAGTGCTGACTTTATCGGAGATGGAGGGAAGATAAAGCGGTAGTTCCTTAAGGCGTGAAGCCCCATGCGTTGTTTGCTAGAGAGATCGAACGCTGGCGGATATTGTAAACAATCTCGAATTGCGTTTAGACTTCTGAATTCGACTATTACGCGGAAACATTGAGTCGTTAATAAATCATGTGTTCCAGTGAGAACCTCGAACGGCAGAAGTATTAGGTTGATGCATAATTACTGCGGATTTTTTTCCAGCAAATTTTACTTAAAGAAACAATAGAAATACTGAGCAAAGTCATACACAAATAATTACTCCGGAACTAATTCACCATCTACGTCAATCACTGCTTCCCATTTGTTAGATAGTCGGATTCCAAATGCGAAGAAGTTTTGTTCCTTACGGGCGATCCACGCCTTGACATCGGCCATCAAGTCATTCAAATCGACGTAACTTCTATTCTCTAGCCATTATTTCGATGAGCGGTTGACGAGATAATCCATAGAACTTTCTGCTGGTGAATAAGGCAGATTTAGGGGCAGATCCCATTTCTTGGTTGGTTCGGGCTCATTGTTCGATAGCCGATAAGTTACTAAGATCGCGGAATGACTGTGCCACCTTCCTATCTTTCTCAAAGTAGTTAAGCCTGATGTCGCAAATATGCGGTTGGTTTTTTGAGTATATTCTTGTAGAGGAAATCAAGTAGATCATTTCTAGAAAAAGCCCGAACTCAATATTGAAATTCTATCGAGAGAAAAAAAGCCGCGAAAAAATCCGCAATAATTATGCATCAAAGGGAGAAAAAAGCCGCGAAAAAATCCGCAATAATTATGCATCAACCTAAATTCTATCGAGAGAAAAAAAGCCGCGAAAAAATCCGCAATAATTATGCATCAACCTAATATTTCAACAACGTAAACGACAATGCTGAAGGTAAAACAAGAGAGCAGTTGGAAACTATTCACCTCTAATGTCTGTGCGAGCACCAACGGTTTTTTAGGAACTATTTTTCACAATCATTTCCTTTGAGTACATCCTATTAGAACTATAATAATTACCGGAGGATAGCTTTTTAGTAAAGATGGAGGACTTCAAAGTCTAGAGTGAACAATAACGAGAAGTTTCAAAAAAGATGCATTCGGAGGTGGGATGATCGAGATCTTCTCTGAAGTTAAGGTAAAATAAAAGGGGCCTTGGTTAGAAGCAAATAGCAAAGTCGATGACGACAGCTCACTCCGTGGCTGTGTAGGATTACCCCAAGAGCAAGAAAAAAGACAGAAAAAAAGAAAAAAATCATATCCGTAATGGCTTCGACGATTGAAAAAAACTGAACCAATAAACTGTCAAATATTTTAGGGTATTGATTGGTGGTGCTTTCCGGATACACCTGAAGTGCGCTCCTCGGGAGGGGATGAAATTCTGGACTGGGTATGAAAGAAAACAATCACAAACACGGAAATCCAATCACAATTTCTATCACTGGCAGCGGAAGTGAGCTAAACGTCATCTATACAGTTTTCTGGATAGACGTGTATCAAAACTGCGAGGAACATAGCCGAAATAACGACGTACGGAGCGAAACAGATCGTGAATCCATACGCCTCCATGGTCCACATGAATGTGGCAGTGCTGAACAGAGGAGCTTCATTGAAACAGTTAAGGAATTCAGATAAAATGCTCATACCTGATGGTGGCCAGTATCCACATCAAAGTCCTTCCTCGGCTGGCGTATGTCATCTGCTCATTGGAACACGCAAATTGTTCTGAAGAGAAGGAAAAAGAGTGAGGATAATCAGAAATTCAGTCAGAGTTATCATGAGCAGGAGTCATTCATGCTGAAAGGAGGGAAAGGGGCCAACTGGTCACCATTGAGTTGCTCCATGGTCCAAAGTTTCCTATGCCTGATACATTCCATCAGCCATCCACTTCTACATTCAATTTTTTGAGATATCAGTTCTTGGTCAGTCGCGGCAAGTGGCGCACCATCTCACACACCTGTCGAAGGTTCGAATCCCGGATCTATATCTGCCCAGGCTAACCGAGTCTCCATTAGACCGGGGTTGGATTATTGGTACCAGACGTGTCTGGGGGATAAAAGCACTAACTCGTACATCGGCTGGCCACCAAGTCATTGTACAGGCCACATACACATTCAATACGCCAATACGATTCTGAAGGAAGGCCGGAGTGCGTGTGGACATCCCTCAGGTCAGATGGGATTTATAAACGCCCAACGACTCCTCTATCCTTTCTCGCTCGGTTATTCGAGCGACCAATGCGTATCCATATATACATTGGAGGAACTACAGAATTGGGGAGTTTCTCAGTTCCCCATGCAGATGAAGCACTCGTTCTGATTGTAGGATCAAAGTATGCATTAGCCAACAACCTCACAATGTTTTTAGCACGGCCAGTGATTTTCTGCTCCCGATTTTTCACGGTCGCTGACCCATTTGGTTGAGGTTGGTTGTTTGAAACATTCGCGAGGGTTTCTTGAAGTCAATTTCCTAATCCACTAATTTTCTACCATTTATCTAAGCGGATTATTTCATTGATAAGAACGTGCACCTTTTAAACCACCTATACTTCTCAGTCATCTACGATGTTTTCTGTGAGACGCTTATTTAAATCATTCCAAACCAGATTAATTTTCCATTCCTCATCAACTCGGACAATGGTGGTGTGGGAGCGCTCTGGTCATATTTCTGTTGAACTGAATAAAAACCTGAGCAGATGGAATAACTGACGGCTTATACGTTCCTTGAGGTTAAGGTCTATTGTGGCGGTCACCAGAGTTTTAATAGAGCT